GTGTGGCCGTTTAGAGTTTCTAGGCACGATTGCCACTGTTCCACTACACTCCGGAACACCTTATGTAAAATTCTTGGTGTATTTTCAGCTTCTGCAGCCATAATTCGCTGTTTTAAGTGCTCAATGCTGCCAATCTTTACTCGGTGCAGTTTGGATCTGATAAAACCCCATACGAAAAAAATCTGGTGATCGTGCAGCCCAAAGCCGTTGAGAGCCACGACCAATACACCCATCAGGAAAAATTTCATTAAGATAATTACGCACAGTAATGGCAAAACGAGGAGGTGTCCCAACCTGTTGGTAGATAACAGTGTCAATCATGCCATCTGATACTAGCTGTGGCTTAAGATACTGTTGAAATATGTCGAGATAAATTTCTGCAGTTATGGTCCTTTCTGCAAAAATGAAAGGTCGATAATAGAGTTTAGACTTCGTTACTCCAATCATACATTAACTTTAGGGCTGTCTCGTTGAGATTCGTGTAATACGTTTGGTTGTTCATTACCCCAGAATCAGTAATTATGCCTATTAACATGACAGTGGCTTCGTCGCTAATGAGAACATTTTCCATAAAGTTCTCATTCTCCACAGCTTCCAAGAAATCATAACACATGGCTTTCTGAGCTGCATAGTCCTCGACTTCAAGCTTATGTACAGTTTGAATGTGGTAGGCATTCAAACTGGCCGCGTATAGTTTATGAAAATTTAGTATGCGAAATCCCGAGTTCCCAGCTGAGTCTTCGTGTAAATACCTCAGGGCTACGCATAATCGCTTCTTGTACGCTTTTTTCTCAACCTGTGGCGTTATCGAAGGTCTCCCAGAACGGTCTTCATCTGTAATACTACTCGTTCGCTTGAATTTGTATACCAAGGTTTTAATGGCTGCTCTGGTAGGAACTTGTTTTCTGAATTTGCGGGCGAATTCCTCCTGCACCTGTTGATATGTTCATTCATGTATATGGGCACAAACAATGGTTATTCTTCCTTCTGTTGACAGCATTCTTTCAGATCGCCTCCAAAGAAATTGGAATTATAATACATTTCTAAAAAATGTACAGAGACTTTATAAATACCTAGTATTTTATTAGATATTATTGGCTTTGTGTAAAAACCCACTTTCTTTAATAAATATCAATATAATCAAGTGTTTGTCCTTTTATCTCCCTTTTATGAAAACTTGTATTTTATTAGGCAGTTGAGTAACATATAACTTAATTGGTTTTTAATTCAATAACATTAAGATTTATATTTAAAGCAAATACTTTGAAATGAATACTATAATTTAGTTTCCTTGAGTGCTTATTTATATAGTATCAACAAATATAAAACTCATTGTGATCTGCACGTACATCCTCGCAATATTTAGGTATGGGTAAACATTGCTATTTCTGGAATTGCAACTAAATAGTCAGTACCGCGTGTTCCGAGATCGGTAAGAAGTAAAGCAATTGGTGTTTTCGAATTTGCTATTTGGTTTTGTATCTCGTCGTTATAAGAGAATAAGAAATGCATTTTTTTAAAGCATGCCTGCATTACAAGCGTTTTAAATTTCTGTAAATGAAACGCTGTTATAAAAAAACCATTCTCTTCTATGGCTTGATATAAATAAATATTATATCCAGAAATTATAGAAATAGTGTTAAATATGTGTAATAATAAATATATCTCAACAGTATTCATATTTTTTGTTTAATTTCTAAATTAAAGCTGCTGGAAATAGTAGGACTATATTGTTGCGTTATAAGGGTTCATGAGTTTCCAGTAATTGATGAAGAATCAAAACACAATTTATTCACCAGTATTACACAGGACAGTTCCAAAGACACGTTTACAGTCGTATAAAAACTACGATAAACACGCTGAAACAATCAACAACACAGCCTTCAGGCTATAGCGGTGAAGACAGTTTCACGGCAAAGCATTAAAATACAGCTCCTGACTCGATCGATCGCTCTCTAGCTAATCTCTGAAATTCAAGCCGCAGTACTACTTCCTCCGCGTGAAAGCAGGGTATATATAGCTTTAATCTACCTTCGAGAATATTCCAGAGAAAATCGCTAAGAATGCGTTCTAGAATGTTCTCGCTCCGTCTATAACAATCACCAAGTTTGTCGCCAAACGGGCGGTTTCGAGCCAAATCTGTCAACCTGACTTTTTCTGCCACTTTCTGGCAGCCCTAACCCCGTTTTGGCGGTAAGCTATCTCACCGCAGCTGGCATTTCTCGACAATATTCTTCGACAGATTTACATGTTTTCTAGCGTATTCTAGTGTTCTTAGTTTAGACTGATCGCTAGTGTATTCATGCATACGCATCGTAACAATAGACAAATACGCACAATGTGGTGCTGATTTCGGTAATTTGCATATAAAATCGGATAGGAAGGAGATGAAAATGTAGTCGCACAGGATTTCATAACGAGCTAGATTAAGCATTTAAAATGGCTACATTCGGCCCCGCGGACCGACTTTTGCTTACCCCTAACATAAAGCAAGTGCCAAATGTTTTCTTATTTGAAAAGGAGGAATCTGAAAACAGATAACAAGCAGATTTTTAAGTTAAAAGTTTTTTAAAAATTAAACAGAAATTGAATACAGAACTTTCAGTTCATAGTAAGATGAATTTCATGACTTACACTGTGTCCATAAAAGTCCTTAACGGCCTTTATTTCTACAAGCGTCAGCTGTAGACATGTACTTTTATTCACAAAAAAATTTAAATGACTCCGAGTTTTGCGTTTTGAAATTTAAAATATCAGTTTTATAAAATTACGAAATGTAACTTTCTGTAGGATTCTTATGGTTATATTCAGTAAAAGTTTAAAATCTTTATAAAAGTAAACCTGAAAAGTTAGAGTAAAACTTGGTATTTTTGCAATATTTTTCTTCTTTGATTGAGAAATCGGTTCAAAATAAATTAGAATACTCCAAAAACTGATTCCCTTTTTTCTTTAATAGCGTTCAGTGGTATTTCTTTTGTGATTTGCCAATGCGAAATATTCTTTAATTTATTACAGCAATTCTTTAATTTATGCAAAAAACTATAAAATAAAGAACTACTTTATATTACTACTAGTATAAAGAATACACTAGTAAATCACAGAGATTGCATTATTAGTGTACCGGAAGAATTTTCACACAAGTAATTTACAAATTTTCAAATGCTAAAAATATTTAATACTTTATTACTAGTATTCCTACGCAGTTTCATCACTTCACACTTACAATCTAATAATCACAAAAATTTTCATTAAACTAAAAATATTATCATTTTTATTTTACGCGAATAACATAACGAGTTGGCTATGTGCCAAGATGACTACTGCTGTTTTCTGGAGCATAAATTCGGAAAGATTCTTTCTCCCGAATAAAATACCCTGTCTGGGAGAAAAGAAAAAGAAAAAAAAAATTTCAGAATATTTTTTGTCATGTAATCTACTAACAACAAAAACCCTTTTCTAAGATGATATTTCATTTTTAATTACGCACCAATGGAAATATTTCGCTCTTCTAATTATGCATGGTCTATGAACATGACCTCAAACTTTTAAAATCAAATATCGGTGTATTTATGTCTTACAGGAATCAAACGTTTGGCGTTTTATTTATTTATTTACTGGGAACCTTTTTAGGAACCATGCAGACGCATAAAAATAATTATTATGAAAAGGTTTTATAGAATTCTTTACAGTATTTCATAATTTTTATAGAACTCATTCCTTTAAATCTAAAATGTCGTAATATGAAAACTTTGTGTCATTTGGAGCATTTTTCATAATTGAAAATACATGCCTACGACCAAAAGTTCCAAATAAAGTCCGCATAAAGACTTTTATGGACACTAAGAATTAATGGCACCTTAATGCAATGTCGCTTACATAAGAAATTCACAAACGAAGATCTGATGCTGGAGAGTTTCAATAAATTAAAATATAATTAAACTTGGAGAAGTTGAAAAAATATTAACACGTAAAAAAATTATCAATCGAAATTCAAACTTATCGAAAAAAGTTAACATTGATAGGAATTCGATATTTAAACATTTAATTCGAATTCTCCAGAATTTCAACTTTTCGAAGCTTTACTGTATTTAGTTATTCTTCCTTTTAAATACAGGAAATAATTATTTTCAATTAGGGAAGAAGTACGCTATCTAAAGATAAAATACTGTTACGAATTTCCAGCCGCGGTAAGATAGCTTCTCCGCAAAGCAGGTTTAAGGTTGCCAGAAAATGGCAAGGGAAGGCAGGGTTGCTGCATTTGGCGAGAAATCGACCAATTGGCGATATGCCATAGACGGATGAGAGCTTTCTGAAACGAATTCTTACTGGTTTAGTCCAGAATATTCTCGAACACAAGCCAAAAGCTAAATAAACCCTGCTTGTACGCGGAATCCATCGAGTTGATAGTCAGTCAGGAAGTGCCTAGTCTAGTCATTTAAGAGTCAGTGAGCGAGTGTCTCGTAGTCTAATACCGAGTTGGTCGTCGAGTGCATCGAGAGAGTCTCTTAGAATTTTGCGAGTTAGTGCATCGTGGGGTTTATTCTTAGAGTGTGTTGAGCTCCGAGAACGACCGAACCGAGTTGGAAGCTGTACTCTAGTGTATCGTCGAGTGCATCGCGAGTTGTAGCGTGGAGAGTCTCGAGAGTACGTAGAGTTCCGAGAAACACCGAGCAGAGTCGGGAGCTGTACTCTGGTGCTTCGCCGTAAAGCTATGTTCACCGTTATAGCCTGACAGTCTGAAGGCTGTGTTGCTGATTGTTCCAGCGTGTTCATAGAAGTTTTTCGATGACTGTAACCGTGCTATTAGAGCTGTCTTGAATAATATTGGATAATAAATTATGTTTCGATACTTCATCAAGTGTCGTCGTTATTCACTCCAAATCCACGAACCCGTAACGTGCATAAAGAGAAAAAAAATGTAACAATATTTATTTCTAAGGGAAAATAAAAGATTTCGAAAATTGTTACATATTTTAATATGTTTATTTCTCTTCTTTTAGACTGCTGTTATTAGCAACGTAGCGAAAGGATGTTTATACAAAAATTTAGAGTGTCCTGATTATGCTGTCGTCGAACAACACACTGTAAGTTCTTAATTTTTAGTAGTTATTTTGTATAATAGGGCAATCCTTTTGAATTAAGCAATTGCTATAAACAGACTGCAAAAGTTACTTTTAAAGTTCCTTTCAGGGTTACTGCAATAGCATCATGCCCGTTTTGAAACTGGAAATCACAGAGCCATCCTGACTACGTATTTTATAGTGAGATTTAATATAAAAAGGTTTTAAAGTAGAAAGACTGAATAAAAATTAAATGTTCCGATTACTTTTTTTTTTAAATTCTGCTAGAAAAATATGTGATAAAATCTGACTCACTTTCTGAAAGTATATTATTGCCTATGTATTTAAATTTATGTTTAAAATAACTTAAACACAGCATATAAACATATTATCAACTGTTTAAGAAGCATAATCTAATTGAATTAGTCTGAATCCTAAAAGTTGCTGAACTGACCATTTTTAAGTGAAATACTAAGCAAAATCTGGCTTTTCCGATTTGTTCGATATAAAAGAATTTATTTGGAAATTTGCCCATTTTTCTGCCTTTTTCTTTTTTTTTTGGGGGGGGGGTCTGTTGAACATGAAAAATCGCAATTAACATTTAACTCGAAAAATAGCCTCTGTGACATTTGCATGGAGAAAAATTTAATCTCCAAATAATAAAATATGCTTGCATGATATTCACTGTTCCCCCCAAAAGAAAACACTGTAGGGTTTCCCTTAGTTCAGTTAACCAATTATTCAAATTTTTGTTATATTTTCTGAACTCCTCAACTTCCCCTCGCATTTCCTCGCCAGGATGCAAATTAATATTAAGCGGATATTTAAACGGACGAATCTTGTAGTTTATTCAGAGCGTGATTTCTCTAGCCAGGGTACGTTACTAGTTTATCCTTGCTGTTACGCAGAGTTTCTGATACGCCTTATGGACAATAATATTTATTAAATATAAGTACATCGCCGGGTAGGTTGCTGAGTCAGCCTCGTTAGCCTTAAATTAAATTGTTAGTGCAGTACTAATCTTATCTTGGAATTTATTGCGAAATATTCTTAAGAAGTTCCACCACAAATCATCGGTATTTCGTTTTATGTTAAGAGTTTGAAGAATAATAAAGGGTTATTTTAACCCTTCTTCTGAGCTAGTATTTTTTTACACCTGCGCGAGAAGTCGCCAGGTTATCTCGTAACATCATTTCAACATTATGATAGTTTTAAAGGTACGATCTTACAACACCATGAAGATACCATTATTTTTATAGAAAATATTTGCCTAAAGTTCACAAGTAATGAAAATATTAAAAATTCAAGGCTATAGAGCCCATCAGTGGCTAACAACTGAACAATCAATGTTCAAATAAGTAACTGGTGAAACCCTCCTAACGGCAATGCATGCTTGTTTGAGGTAAAGAATGATAAAGATTCCATATTTCCTCCTGCGATACGTTCTACCAGGCATTCTTCAATTGTTGCTTCAGATCTGTGACATTTACGGATGCCTGAAGCTAGCGGCCTATCATATGCCATACATATTCGAATGGTGACCTTGCTGGCCAAGAAAGAATACAATAACTCGGAGATAGTTCAGAGATATGCGAACAAAATGGGGTCTAGCACTATCCTGCTGGAAAAGGATTCAAGGATGGCGTGCCATGAAAGGTAACGCAAGAGGTCTTTCAACATATCTTTAAAATTTAAAGATGCTATAAATATAATTGACAGTTGGAGAAAAGAACATAGATTAGAGCTCAATTTTGAGAAGATTAAGGGTCTATTTTTCAAAAGTAGAGGGGGAGAAACGTAAGGAAACATCATCTTTTTTTATAATGAAAGCAAAATTTAACTAATTAAGGATTTGAAATTTTTAGGGTATTTTTGGATAATTCACTGACTTTTCTGGAACACTCTAATAACTACGTGCATAGTAAAATGATTTGATTCTGAAGCTTTATAAGACGAGCTTCTCAGGTGAGATTCTGGCTCACAACAGTACCACATTACGAAAGCTCTTTAATAAGGAGATTTTGTGATTTTACAATTTATAGTCTACGGTACTGGTGCTTGAGGAACTCGTGCATCGAAGGTGTAGCGGAATAGAAAAAAAGAGCTGTCTACTGGCCATCACAAGATATTTTGAAATGCTCCAACAGAGGTGGCGTGCATGTTAGCTGGCAACAGCCAACCTATGCATGTGCTACCGTATAAGCATTTTAAGTAGATGTGGATTTGCACTTTTTATATTTAAGCCTTATTTTGCTGAACCAAAACGCATGTTGTGTATTTAGGCAATTGAGAGGGCGGATGCCCTTGCTAAAGAAGCGGCTTTAGTGCTTAATATTTGAAAAGCTGAAACACCAGATTCATGAATAAAGGCCATCCGGATTATGGTAAATAATTTATAGAAGAACTAGGATGCGCTATGGGAAGACTCTATAAAAAGTAAAGATTTTCTGCATACTTTTGAAAATCTTTCTTGTTTCTGCATACAAGAAATACAAAACCTTTCTGAAACACAGACGTTAATCAAATTATAAGCGGGCATAGAAGATTTACCTAATATTTTAATAGATGTTGGCTTCAAGATAATAAATGCAAGTTATGCAATGTGACTAGAGATGCTCGTTATTTTGCTGAAGAGCGTTCTGTCACTAAAGATATAGAAGAAGCAGACAAGGACTTTAAAATATTGAATTACAAAACTGTAGCAGTGAAAATAATTGTAGAGAAAATTATGGCAAGAGTAGGTTAGGACAGAGAAAAATAGGCATCTGTTAGATTACATGTGGGTGCGTGTTTCTGTTAGTATTTTGAGTGTTTTTCTTTAATTTTAGTTTAGTTTCTAACGCTTTTTTTAATGAGTGAAATATAAAAACCAGAGGTCCTTCTGGTTGTATTTTATGATTCCTCTTTTATTATTCTTTCGTGTTGGCTGTTTGCTATTATTATTTCTGTCTTGCCCTGGCGCAATCCATAAAAAGACAATATATATCGCTAAACTATCAAAGTTGCATGCAGAATGACAAAGGTCGACCTGCTGTCGTACGAGATTGCCCCCCCAACCATCACACCAGGAGTAATGGTTGTGTGCCTCCGTAAAATAAAGGTTGATTGGTATCGCTGGCCCTGGCCTCTCCACACACAAGTCGAGTGGTCATCTACTCTGAGGACTTAACTGGAATTCGTGTCTGAACACTCTGCGGTGCCGGTCAACTGGGAGCCATGATGATCGTCTACGACACCATTCCAGATAACTCGGTCTATGTTGTGGGTTTAAAGACAGACGTGTTAAAGGCCGCTGTGAGCGCAACCCCGATTCAGCCAACAGCCATAAATAGTTGAAGGAACTAAGCGTCGTATGGAAAGGGCTGTAGCATGTATGGATAGCGAGCAATGTTGTCATTGGGGCAATTTGGGCCTGATGTACAATCATCCAATCTTGCCTTGCATTGGTGCACCTTCGCCTTCCAGAGGCTTGATTCCTCCGATGATTTCCTTGCAGCAACCACTGTTGCCAGCACCTTTGCACAGCCGTGTCCATATGGTGCAGATGGTAGCCTATTGCTTGGTACGAACAGCCCGCTTCACGCATCCTTACTATGAGACCACGTTCAAAGTCATCCAACTGTTTATTAAGTCTTCGACAACGTCGTAACTGCATTATTAGTTGTATCTCCGGGGAACTGCAACGCTAAAAACTAGAAAAGATAGACTTCGGCAATTGTTACCTGTTTAACAAGTTGATAACTGCCCAGCAGAAACACGTGCTATGACCTCGCGCTTTGGCTTAACATTCATTAGCCTTGAAAATTTAATCATTTGCAGACTTAACATGAAAGAATTTGTTTAAAATACTTTCTTACTATTTTTAATAACATTATAGGAACTTCAACATTATTAACCTCAACATTATTAACCTCAACAAATATGAGCGGCAAATTTATTATGTAGAAGCATTGGAGGATTTTCTGCTAGAAAATAGCATGTAATTAAATATTTGTAATGACTGTTTTTAATAAAATATACGTACTACGTAATTAAATATCTGTAAAGACTACTTTTTAATAAAATAGCATGTAATTAAATATTTGTAAAGACTACTTTTTAAGATTTTTCAGGGCAGGAAACATGAAAAACCGGTTTGCTTTCGCTGGGATAATTTGAATTGAGGATTTCCAAATGCTTGCTGGATTTGAAGATTTGCAAGTGCTAATCACTTGCATCACGAGAGCGCGCGCAGTGGAATGTGATAATTCTTTATATATTAGGCTCAACTTGTTCCTCTTTTTTAACATGTAGATAACATTTAGGTACAAATCCATTTACGTAATTACCTAGACCTTAATTTTTTTTTAGCTCCTCAGTCACACTGCGTTTTCTGAGATTTCGAGATACTATTATCTTTTTGAAAACTAGTCTAATCAGAGATAAAGTATTGAAATATTTATCACTAATGATTATTGATATCAAAAAATTAAATTTAAATAATTCTAAAGAATCCTTTAGCGACTGCTTATGAATTTTGTCAGAAACTGAAAAAAAAAAAAAAAAAAAAAAAAAAAAAAGACATTTTTGCTTTTATTATAATAATTTTTACAGGATTACGAAGTTCGATCATATAAAGCGATGACTTGGGCAACTGTTGTAGAAGAAAGCATGCTTGTCAGAATTGCTCAAATTAAAGCTTTCGAACGTCTTTTGAGATATATAAGTGGCGAAAACGATAAAGGCGAGTAAGCATTTTAGCATGTTTTGAATATGTTATTAATTTTGATTTAAAATTAACGTTTCCATTTCTTGAAAACGGAAAGGTTCTTGGATGTTTTTCCAAGATAAAAATACACACATAGCTCAATTTCCGTGCTCTGAAAGGTGAATTCTTTTTAAAATTTTATTTTATAATTAACATCCTAATAATACTACGTAATATATCTAATTTTTTAATGAAAAAATTTAACTTAATATATATTATCAACTCTCTATGTGCCATGGTAGTGCCGGTAACGACGGCCGCGTTTAACTTTACGAAAGAAATCAAAAATAAAAGAGTAATATGTCATATTATAATTGAAAGAAAAATACTGCTAATAATTTACCTGCAGTTTCGAATGAGAATAATGTCATTTGATTACGTAAATAATAACGCATTCAGAAACCAAAAGAACAGACTGTAAATAAGGAAAGAATAATATTAAAAATAAGAAACTAAATTCATAAATGGTATTAAATAACAATATTTAAGGCAGAATTTTAATAATGTCTGTCAAACGCGTTACAGTTAACCTACAATTTTAGATTAGTCTGCAATTTGTTAGAAAATGCGGGTCTGTTTTAAATAAATTTACTGGTGGGTATCAAATAGTTCAACATAAAGACGATGGAATGAAGTTCCATTATTTAGTTTTCTATAAAAAGGAACAATAAGGAGGTTCATATTAAATCATTTTAAAACTGGAATTGAAGCAATTGGAAAATTTTAATTGAAAATTTAAATTGAAATATTATTCTCTTGAGTAAATGAAGAAACTCCTTACCTAGAATATAATACGATATGTTCTCCTCAAATTTCCTTACTGCTTCTAACAAATTTACACAGATTGTAATGCAAAACGTTTAACAGACTTTCTTTTTCAAGTATATGCTGTTGCCCTCACATTATTAAACATAGAATTCACCCAAAGAATGGACATTAGACGCCTGAAAATAACACCCAGAATGACGTACGAGCTAGGGCGGCATAAAATAGTATTTGCTGCTCGTAACTTTTCTTGGAAAACAAAACCCTTGGAAGTGCCCACCAGCGGCCGAGCGATAAAATGTCTGAACGGTGTTAGTTTCGAGCTGGGTGGGATTCCAAGCGAACAGGTTGGTTGCATGGGTGTGGTTTTCTTTATGTGTATACAAGTCAGTTGTTCTTAGAAATTCCTCCTCTTAAGCAGATAGCCCTAGTGTGCTTTGCCACAAACAGCTAAGCCAAACCAATTTTGAAAGGTTTCAAACTCTTTGTTATTAAAACCAAAGAAAAAAAAAGAGAGAGAGAGAGAGAGACTAATATATGTTATTTTATTGAATATCGATTTTTAACTTGTTGCGTTTATTCGCAAACAGAATTCCTAAGATTTTTATTTTGTTCTTATTTATATTTTTGTTCTTAGGAATGACGATGAACATGACAGTGCCAGTGAGGGTGCAAGCTACAGAGTATAAATTCCACTGCACGGTCGAGATGAGCTTCATGGTTCCATCTATCTATGCTATTAATCCTCCAGTTCCTAACGACACAGGAATTACTGTTGCTAGAAATGAACCTGCTCTTTATGTTGTGAAGTAAAGTTGGTTTCTATTTTGAATCTCCTTGTTTTGACTACTACATTCTTCAGCAACTACTTAGGGGTTTTCCATACTCTATACACATATATTAATAACTGTTTGTATTTTGAAATACTGTAAAACAAATTTGCTTGAAAACATACCATGAACAAGGCATCCAAGAAGATTCACTGAAGGCGAAAAGAAGTGGATCTTTGGAAATATTATTTATAACTCTTAAACCAGTACAGTCAGATTGATTTTAATATTTAGCAAATCTAGTAAAGCAGAAACTGTTAAAAATAGTTTCAGAAAATATAACTTTTACGGTCGAATAGCTAGAAGAAAAACATTTCACAGTAAAGCGAGTTGAATGGCATGATTACAGTTCACTAAGATTTGCATTAAAAGGCCTGAAGATTTTGGGGATTTGGCTACATTTGTAGACGAAAAGAAGTTTAATATTCTTGGAGAGACTAAAAGCAAATGATGTGGTGGAACCCAAATACTGAACTTCTTACTGAAAGACTGAAAGACCAAATACTGAAAAGCTTAGTGGTGGAAGTAGCTAGATGATCTTGAGCGCTTGCGGTATCCTAAACTAGAGAAAAACTGGCATATTGTCGCTTCAAGAGATATAGAGGATAATCGGAAGCATAATACTCATACTTGCAAACTGTGGACTTTATATACCTATCCCCATGCATACTTGATATCATTAGCATGGCAAAATTAATAAAGTCAGAATTTCCAATAGAAATGTACTTCGAAAAATCTCACCATGAAGTCGGGAAAAGTAGAAATAAATCTCAATGAAAATCTTATTAAATCCTTGCCTAGATGACGAAGTAAATTCAAGGAAAGAGAGGAGGCTCAGTACATTATTAGAGCAATTTTTGTAGAATTTTGTTTCTAATATACGTATGTGCGCTCCAAAAGTTGTAGGGATTTATATTTATTTTAACTAACAAGTTTAATTTAAAAAACTTTCCTATAAGCCTTCATTCCCTAATTGTCAGTGCCAGAATAGTTAAATTTTGTAGCGCGCGTGAAGGAATGCAATCGTTTACTTGTAGGAAGTATTTAAAGCCGAGTTTCGGTAGAAGAAAGGAGAGAGTTAGGCTCTAGCCGCCACCTCTGCCGTAGATACGTTTGCTTATTGCTAGTTCAACGTGGCTTAAATTGCATTTATTTGCTGCCACTAGCTTCAAAGAGGGTTTAAGTTAGGGGATCTTGCTGTAGTCTAGTTCTATCGTTTGTTAATATCTTTAAATTTTAGTTTCGTTACTTGATTTTTAGTTACCGCCCAAGCAGAGGCGAAGTTTGTTACAGTCGAGTTGACGCATTGTAAATTTTCACAGATTTAATAAAGGGTACTTTAAGCCTTCTCTTACGTAGTTTCCTGCTACTCCAGGTTTTATTACAGAAGTTTATCTACTGGACTCTACAAAGTTCTGACCATTGATTTCTCGTTTATACTCGACAAGTGCGAAATTTAATATTTATTTCATTTTACTTTTAATTAATTTTAAGGGTTTTTCGATTTCGTTCAGCTCTAAGCCAGGGCACATGTAATAACAGTATTTCGTTTAAATGAAATATTTAATTATTTTTTCAAGAAATGTCTGAATACCTGTTCTACCCCAATGCTTTCTTGACTCACTGGAAGTACAGCAATGATGCTAGAAAAATCAGAATATTTATTAAGACACTAATAGTAATAATAAGAGAGTCTACTTGAATAAGAATCCTTTTTTCCTCTTAGTTTTAAAAATTCCCCAGGATGTCTAATTTGTTTGCTAAAAAATCAGAGACACAACCTAAAATCTTATGGCTTTGGTTGTATTATGAATCAGAAAAAGAATTTAAAGACTAGCATAAAATTTAAATCCTAATTCAGTTAATATCGTAACTACTGTGATCCTCATTTTTAACGACAGAGTATACATGCCTTATCAAAAAATCCATAATATCGTAGTACAGAGAGTACGAAATTAAATAAAATGCTATGAATAATACTGTGATTGTTCATCTCGGAATTTAAGGAAATAAATTGCTAATATTACTGTATATTTTTAAGCTGCTTTGTACATAAGCCAAGAGATTAGATATTGCTCCAAAAATTCAGCCAAAACTGAATGGGTTCGTCAACCAACTGGTTGTATGCGCGTTTTCGTGATTTTACCCATGTGTAACGTGTATACGAAACAGTTTCCCCTAGGAAATGCTACGAAGACATCCCTTCAGTTAGGCAGGTAGCCCTTGCGGGCTTTGCCATAATTAAATAAACCAAACCAAATCAGCGATACCTAGAAACCCGTATATAAACTAAATTTAAAATCGCTCTTAAAATCCAGCGGTACAGTATATCACCAAAAGTTCGAATAATTGATAGTCTAACTTAGCTAGACTTATCAGACCAGCTAAAAGTGAGTGTCAGTTTATCTTCAGCTTCCATTAGAAATATAAGAATGAAAGGACTAAAGAATGATATAACAATTTCGGCGTCAATTGCTCCTCTTCCTCAATTCTTCAAATTTAAAGATATCTCTGACTGAAGAAACTAAAAGACTGAAAGACTCTCATGTGGCGCTTTGGCATTAGAGTGACAAATTGTATTTGGTTCTAAATTTTAGTAAATAATCTCAAGCAATCAGTAGATTCCCTTTTTCCGCTATACACAGAAGATGCATAAATAAATAAACAAAAACAAAACAAAAAAAAAATGCATATTCTTCGAGATTTTTAAATTAAAATGTATCACTTCTACTTATCAATACAGATGAAACAGAAGATGATATTATACATAAAATTATTTATAATGATATTTTGTTAAAAATTCTTTGTTTATGCGCAGAAAATACGATCATCGTGATCTTAAAATACGCTACGTTTAATTTCAATTTTTAAGCTAGTCTATTTACATTTCCGTTTTCTTGTTTAGGTTAAAAGCCTAGAGACTTAATCCTAATATAATCCAAACTGACTGTGATGAACTGAATCAAAGCATTTGTGTTTCATCTGCCTTAGTAAAACATTTAAAAAGAACAGTCGATAGAAGCCTTACAACTGCTGAATTTCTTCCATAGTCTACTCAGATATCGTTGCTCGTTGAAGCCGATTTCCCCTTTTTCTCTTGAATAACTTTATAACAAGACTTGTAGTAAAATTGAAATAAATGTAAAAGTGATATCATTAACTTGTAGTAAAATTTTTGCTACAGTATAAATGTAACCAAATATAAATCTAATACAGTTTTTGCAGAATTTAATTATACATATTTTGATCATTTTCAGGTCTTTCCCTGGATACGTATGGAGGAAAGGAGCTTGGAAAGAAGAAGCCCGAAAATTAGCTGATAGTCTTAAAAACGATAATACAGTGATCAAAACTAAATATTACCTAGTTGGATATGACGCCCCACTTGATTTTTATAACAGACGTAACGAAATTTGGATGGTAAAAAGGGCAGGAAAACGCGAAAAAGAAATGTAGAAGCCAAATGTTAATCGTAGCCAAATGTTTCACCCATTACTGGAAACTCATTGATTTACTTTGCTTAAATAAGCAGCCTTTATGAAAATATTCTCATTTCGAAACTGTAATATATTACTCATTATTAGTAATTAAAGAAATCCCATATTATTAGTAAATGTTGTTACGAATTTTGTGGAGGATGCTCTCCTAGAAAAATAAGGGGAATCACAATGCGAGAAACAGGGTAATCACAATGCGAGAAACATACATCCATTCATGCAGATTCTTCATTATTTAATTTCTTTAAATGCAATACAGGGCAATAATATATGGTGGCAACAATTTGAAAAGTCTTTCGACGCAAAATGCCGTTTCGAAACTAATAGCTCATCTGAGTTAACGCTTCGTTTCGCTAACAATGTAGTAAATTTCATCTGACCTCGCGATATTTTATAATATTACTAGCCGCTACGCGGCGAGCCTTCGTCTGGCTTTTCAATGCAACGGGGAAAAAAAAAAAAAAAAAAAAAAAAAAAAACGTTCTCTCGACAAATTCGACAAACGTCGTATTCAAGTACTCTCGAAAAACGTCCAGTAATCCAAGAGAAAGATTAAATTAAAAAACTGCACAGAACTATCGCCCTCATTTTTCCGAGTGGCAACAGTGCTGATATTGGCAACAGTGACATATCAGCAACAATGGCAACAGTGTTATAGCAGCAACAATGGCTGCTTGCCATTGTTGATGCTATACTGAGAGAGAATTATCAATTTGACGCGATTTCATCAAAAAACATAAAATAAAAAAACTCACTCTAATTTTGAAAAAATCGCTTCGAGGTACACTGGCTCTTGTCTAGGTGCACCTATGTACCAAATGTTGTAGCTCTGGGTCTATTAGCTTACTCGCAGCACGAATGAAAGGCACGCACACAGACAGACTCTTCCTTTATTATATGTAGAGAAGACTAGCCGCTATGCGGCCAGCCTTTATCTGGCTTTTAAATGTACCGGAAAAATGCCTAAAGGAAACACCTGGGACCGATGGTGCCGTAAGTTCTTCCAACTTTTTTTCTTTGTTAAGATTCCAAACCCCCTTGTATACTTCCTTGATGTATAAAGAAAACCAGAAAAACATATATATCTTGAAATTTTAGCAAATTGATTGCATGAGATGTGTATTAAACATTTGTTAAGACACAATTTATTTCACCCTTCTTAACCACCACCATAACTACATAAAAATTATATGAAAATTTTACAATAAAATAAGTAACTCCATGCCATTTCTGATGAGTCAAATTTTTTTAACATTTTCTTACTCGATAGTTTGAATGATTCTTTTTCTGAAATTTTGAGTTTTACAAATTAGAATTATGAAAAAAAAATATACAGAAAAAGCATTACGTTTTAATAACGCCCAATATATGACGATGAGTTAAAAATGTTATAACACTTTAGGTAATCTTCTGAGAAAATGTGTCAGCAGTCATATCACAGTCATTTAACTTGCAGTCATATCACAGCTTGTAATTTGCAAACTTGTAACTTTGAGCTTCGTTTCACACATAGGATGATTTTAAGCATGCAAAGTGTTACAGTTAGTTAATTTATTGCTATTTTTGAAAGAGTTCTGGATACACAATATTAAATGTTTCCCATTGGGAACAAAAGATGTAAAGATTATCCTTTTTTCCTACTCTAGAGCAACCAACATATAACTGGCCGTGTGAAAAACATGGACTTTGTAGGTCAAGTCCAACAACCTTTAAAGACTGTCTTTGTGCCTTGTTGATATTTATTGCAAAACTTTAAGATATTGAGAATTAAAGCCGTTTAAAATGAAATGGTACATCAGATGTTATAATGGGAATTCTTGGGATGAATATATCTTTTCCTTTTTTTCATGACCAGTCAAACTAGCTGCTTCAATAACATTTTTCATGAGCTTCTTGACAGATAATTTTGTACCACTGCAGAGTGAAGGGGGATCTAAATTTCTTAACAGCACTATAGGTGCACCAACTTTAAACTCCAGATTATGCGAAGGTACTCCAGGCAGTTCCAAAGAATTCAAAAATTCAGTTAGATAATTTACAGCCTCATCCGTAGAACACTAGTATCAACTGACTTGTAAATTTGAACACTGCTAGGCCCAACTGTGCTAAAAGTTGTTTATTAGGGGCTCTCACTGTATCATTTTTTGGTGCAAGAATGGATCTTTCCCATAGCGAGCTGCGATCGGTAAAGTGCTGTCTTAAGTTGAGAAATACTGCAAGAGGTCTTGGTGGCTTTCCACAATATTTCCGATACGATCCAGTGAGATACATCCATCTTGTTTATCTGGTGTGAAGAATCCATTTCCGAGTTTCAGAAAATTCTTCAGCTGTAGTATCTTCATAAATATGAACTCTCATATTAGTTCTAAGATGAAGACTCTGATTTTCATTCCAAATATATGATGATTTTAAGAATACATGCATTTGGTCAGCTTGTGTCACTCCGTAGAACAACGAGTAGTGTCTGTCGAAAATCTCTGGCAAGTACCAACACAAAGTCTCCCATTCTTCTGTTGTTATATGTCAGGTCTTGCAGAGTAACACCAAAGGCTTTGAACTCAGCTTTGTAAGACATTGTGCATTCATCCCAACACAATTAACTTGCACTCTTGTAGAACTTCTACAAGAACTTTGACAGAACTTCTAGAAATATTAAATGATGGTGTTTCTGTACTTTCCAAATTTAGTGGTAATTTAAATTAGTTCTTCCTCCCTTTAGCAATGTAGCAGCAATTCCGGATGATGCAACAGCCAGCGCAACGTGTTTCCTAGCTCGTATTTTTGACAGTATAAGATTAATGAGGAACGGTTTCCAAGTACCACCTAGTGCATCAATAAAAAAGTACCACCAACTTGATTCGAAACTGCAATCATAATTGTTTCAAATGCTTCCTGTTGATCTGGAACCAGTTTCTTTTCATGTTCTAAGTATGTTGTAAGTTCTTGCAAATTGCAACTCATTTCATGAGAAAGTTCACTGTGCATTGCCGATTGAACATTTCCTGTTGGTTCAGGTAAACCGAATGACTGCAAGTTTTGTCCACCTAAGAAGCGAATTTTGTCCTCAATCATGATAAGAGGACCCACCAGCGGCCGAGTGGTAAAAGCCGCTGAACACTGGTAGTTCGGTCAGGGGTTCGAGTTACAGCGAACGTGCTGGCTGCATGGGCGTTTTCGTGGTTTCCCCATTTATAACATGGATATAAGCCAGTTTTCCTTAAAAAGACCTCCACAAGGCATCCCTCACTTTCCGTGTACTGCCTAAGGGCGAAGCACGTAATAAGAAAAAAAAATCATGATAAGAGCTCTGTTAAAGATGTCTTCATTATAAGCGATATTCATATTATTCTGCTGAAGTCTTAATTGATGCAGTAAGTCTTCAGAAAGGCTTTCCTTATGATTTGACCACTATTGATGAGGATTTGACATGACACATGTCTGTAACATAACAAAAAACAGATTTCGTAGCATTCTTGGGGAGCAAGGTCACAGCAGCTTCTTCCAATGTTGCATTCCAGTGTTCATCATTTTCCAAAAGTCCTCTAATTTGACAAGCTTCTTTAAAAGTTTTGCATATTCTTCCTTCCATTGTTCGCAATTCTTGAAATGACTTAAGGCCTTGAACTTCGTGCAACAACAATCTCAGGTGAAAACATTCCGAGTTGTTTGGATGTACGGCACACACTCAACGAGGGCACCACTCGATTCCAGGATGATCAGGTACATTGGTTCCAATTTTACGCCTGTTCCATTTCTTGTTTGCATTGCTCCATGTGTAATACTTTGGCACTTGATAATACAGTAATGTACGTGCAAACTCATCTTCAATACAAAGGCGAAAGAAAGAGGTTAAAGTTGTTTAAGGAGCTGTAACCATTCAATTACATTAGCAGAACTGAAATATACTCGTTGTCCATTCTGAAGGTGGACACTTAAATGAATAACAGTAGGATAACGTGAATCGGAAAGTTCAGAATTCTCCACACAGCCTCATTGCTACTGATATAGCTTCTTATTTCATATTGGTGAACTTCATTATTCATTTATTTTCCAGAAGTCATTATGTCAAAAACAGCCCTGTCATATTCTTTATTTACATATTTAGAGACATACTTTATGGATTTCAAAGAATTACAGTATTCGACGTTTACATGAGCATTGCAAATTTTTGAGAGAAGAGGACAGTAGGGAACAAGCCATCTATTGTCCACCAACACTTCACACCTTCGAACATTGATGTTTGATGTAAACCCTCTGTCTTCTGGATGTCTCCGACGATAAAGTGGATATCCATCTTGTCCTGTCTGTGTTTCTCTCAGAAAATTACGTGGGTATTTTTTAGTAAATTTTCCATCCGTCATGCATGGAAAATGAGTGTTGATGAGTCCACACGGGCCATGAAACGTCTATGAAGTTATACGTTTAAACAGATGTGTATCTTCATCTGGATTCAGTATTTCTGCACTAATGAATTAATCGACTCTCTGAATATGCATTTTTTCTTTGAGCCATACCAGAATGTGGGCATGAGGAAGCCCTCGTTTCCCCCATTCAATTGTGTACATGTGACACTGAACGCTGCCAAAAATATTTGCCTTGACATTGAGATTCATTATGGTCTTTAGCGTTTGGTGAAAACCCCTTGCAAGTAAATCATGGCTGTCTTGTGGCTTTTGACCTGGAAAGAGTTCATTCTTGATTTCATCCCAAGATGGATTACATGTTGAGGTAATAAAGAGATCAAGTCGACCATAAATACGCATCTTGAGTTCTTTTATGCATATATCTTGGACTTCCAGTGAAGGTGGATGGCAACATGATAAGTTTACCGATATCAGTGACGTTTTCATCAGTAATCACAGCATCTCTAAGATGAACATACTGGTCCACTCTCAGTGCCGTTTTTTCAGTCGTATGTATCTTAACCTCTCCGACTCTAGTTTTGCATATATATCAACTATAAATTGTTGGAAAAGGGTTTTGCATCGCAATATTATATTGAAATTTGAAGACCGCACCATAATCCTGAAAGCATAAAATTCCATCGCAGACATCCTTTTTCGTGATTCTAATCTAGTAGTTGGGTTAATTTGATAGAGCTCGAAATGGTATCCATC